ACACCTTATTAATCAATCCGTGGTAGAGGTTTATGCAAATTTTACTGAGAGTGGGGAAATATTCCGAAGCCATTCATAAAAACAAATAGAAAAAAAAACTGTTGTTTTTTTTTTTAACGGCTAATTCCCAATTGTGAATGCTGACACTATAAAACTGGTGCAGTTGTTGAGGAGCTTTTTTAAAGGACAAATGATAATTCCAAATCAGGTTTGTTTTTCTGTAAACACAGTTTTGAAAAAGATCTTTTCCTGCTGGCAGAGTGTATGCACTGTCAGCATGAAGTATAAACTGGATTCCTTTTCACAGGAACATTTGGTATTTCTTTGACAGGTAGGGCAGAAGAAAGAGCTTCAGGGCAAAATAAATAAATACATAAAAATAAGCTAAAATTAAAAATAAAAAGCTGCAATGTCCCATGCCCATAGACTCTGTAGGGAAAAAAAGGCATCACTTCAGAGTATGTTCTCTTTAAAATAATGCACAGAAAATGCTTGGTTACAAGAGCAAGCCTTGATGCTCTGCAGCATGTAGAATGGCAATTATTTTATATCAAGTAAAGGAGAAACAAATGTTTGCAGAGTCTGAGCCTACTATTGTCGTAGGTGTTTTTACAAACTTAGTGCACTTCAAATTCTGTTAAAACTAAAAACTGTTTTTGAGGCTGTGAAAATATATAGAAGCTAGTATTTTGTGTGTGTACTCAGTTAAGCCTCATTCCAGGAAAAACTATAGCATCTCAAGTTGCCAGGTAAAGGAGAGGAATCACAGGCTTGAATATTCTCCCTTCTGTTCCCCACATCTATTTAGGGAGATTTATGCAGTTGGAATGTCTGCCTTTTCCTGGAGGCTGATCACATGGAGAGCCAGATATGCCTAAGCATGTAAACTTCATCCTATGCCTCTCTTCCTCCCAACACCATCGTTCATGATATATAGACTGCAGTGGAAAAGTTGGTTTTCTCTATTTAAATTAGTTCTGAAGAAGGCTTACCTATTCCACATTACAGTGTTGTTTAAATTTTGTTAGTTGTACTGTTTCCTAAGAATAATTTATGGATAAATACCCACTCAGCGTGCCTGGGACATGATTGTCAATGAGGCTGTGATCAAATTTACCAATCAGGGTTGGTTGATTAATGAATACGTCCATGTACAATATCGCTGGGGAAATAGAATCTGTAATTTTTTTTAATGCCATAGACGGCTGTTGAAATTGAAGTTTGTTTCTTTTGTTTTCAAATGGCCAGGTTATCTTTGTTTTGTAGCTCAAGAATGGCAAGCACTGGGCAGCCGTCCCCTGTCCATGGGCCAAAGCAGGCATTATAATGGAAGAGTGTGATAGATTCTGCTAATAAGTATTTCTTTTGTAACTTAACTGTAGATGAAGTGGGCCTGATCTGAATTAGAACCATACAAAACAAATGGTTTATACTCCTGGCTGTCGGGCAATAATAATAATATTAGAACTGCAGAGCTGGAAGGGACGCTATGGATCATCAAGTCCAGTCTCTGGTCAAGGAGGCACAAGGGGGGAATAGAACTCTGAACCTCTGGCTCTGCAGCCAGATACCTAAACCACTAAGCTGCCCAGCAGTTCTTACTTTAAAAAAAAAAAGAGTGAAAGACGCTAATTAAAATAATGCTTGTTTTGGTCCCTGTGACTGAGGATGGGATTGACATTGCAGCATCATTTTGTTGAGCCATCCTATCCCAAATTGAGAGCTCCATTAGTTATACTGAATACACAGCCAGGCATATGTACTTGTAGGTCTGAGCCCAACATATCTGGAATATTTAACTGTCAAAAATGTGTTTTGTTCTTTGCTTAGCGGGCTTTTCAGCTGTAGAAAGCAAAAACTGGAAGTGCCAGGTGAACAAAGTTTGCTAGCAGTGCTTTTCTCCTGTGGCTAACATTTTCTAATTCATCACTGTGCCTTTCTTAAAACAAACCAATGATCATTATAGTAGAGATTGACAACGTTCCTGTCTCGATTTGTTTTAAAATGTGTTTAGGGTTTAAAAGAGGGGTGGGGCGGGCTAATAATAATAATTAGGACTGAGAACAAATATTTAAGCAGTCATATTTTTGCAGAATGCTTAGAATGGGTTATATGTCTACTTGCACAAGACTGTCTTTGTCCTGTTTGAGCAGTCAAGCATTTCTTTGTTTCAAACTAGATGGAGTTTTAGATAAACCTGAGAAAATGTGCTTTTATGAAGTCAATTTTTAAAGAAACACTTTGGTATTCTGAAGCAAATGTATTTATTTATCAGTATGTGTATAACTAATTTGGTATTTTCACACAATTACATTGTGTATGTTGTAGAGATTACAGTACATGTCAATACAGAAGATCTGTGCAGAAAAAAAATTAAAACTTGAATTTGTTTCAAAGAATCGTTTGTTTGTTTTCCTCCAGACAAACCTCCTTGTCATTATTTCTTACACATTTACCATGTGCACTAAAATTACTCACTTTAAATACAGGTATCATATGCAGTTGAAATTCTGTCACTACACGTGCTTTAAAGATTCATCTCTGAGGTTTCTTTCCGTCATATGCTAAAAACAGAAGAAAAAGTGGAAACCGTATTTCATCTCAGTCATTTGAAAAAAACACACCTAAGTGGAAACTAAGGGTTGCCATTGTTCTTAGAAAGCCATTTCACAAAAAAAAAAAAAAACCAAAAAAAATAAAACCTACCCAAACACAAAGAAGTGTTTGGAATGTGGCCCTGCACTTTACTCAGGTAAATTAAGCAAAAATATCAATCAAGAAGAGAAATGTCCTTACTAGAGAGATGGGCACATGCTGGTTCATTATTCATGCGAACAGGTATTTGGTGCTTCCCAGCCTCGCCTCCTCTAGCAGGTGCCCACTCAGAGGCAGCACCCCAGCATCTCTGCTCCGCTTTCTCTGGGCGCTGCCTCTGTACCCGTTGGGGGAGGCAGGGTGAGAATCTCCAAACAACTGTTTGGACAAAAACAAAACAAAACAAAAAATAGCATGAACCAGCCATTCACGCCCATCCCCAGTCCTTACACTATTTCCCCTGCTGTATTCCATTACTTTGCTGCTCCGTATTATTTTCAACATAGTGCTGAACTAAGAGACAACTTCACAAAAGCAGGCTTTGCTTAAAGTTTGAAGAATTGGAATGACTAAAGTCCCTTATTTTAGGCATACAAACTAATCAAAAATAGATTCTGCAGAACAAACTTAGGATAGGCTGTTGCAGGCTTTTGGGCTGTTTGGCTGTGTTCCAGAACACAGCTAACAGCCCGAAAAACCTGCAACAACCATCAGATCCTGGCCGTGAAAGCCTTTGAGAATACAAACTTATGATACTTCAGGCTCTATGGAAAAGCAAGCTTCTTGGCAGCAGAAACTAGACATCCCAGTAACGCACAGGTACAGCCACCCTGCCCACATACACCTCCTGTTCTTGCTTCATCGTTACCAGATAGAGGAGAAATGGTAACTAGTCCCATCAGCCCTCCCATTCGCCTTTCACAAGTGCAAAAAAGCCAGCCATACTTGAATTAACTCTCATGGCTGGCTGGAGTCAGGTCAGATACTGCCCACTAAGAGATTCTAAGCTAACTACCAGACAACTGTTATACCTATAGGACAAGATATCAGTGGGTGAGAACACCTGAGAAAGGTGCAGTCCTTCACATGTCTACTCAGAAGCAGATCCCACAGATGGCAATGCTAATTCTGACTGAATTCAGTGGGACTTGCTTCAAAGCAGGTATGAGAAGGCTGACTGGCTGCAATCCTGTCGTTCCTTTCTTGGGAGCAAGCGCCACGCCATACAGTGGCGTTTACTTCTGAGCGACGCTGTGTAGGATTCTGCTATAATAGGTATGGGGAAAAGTGATTCCACCCCCACTTTGAAAGGGGGTAAAATCACATACGTAGGGGAATAAAATAATGTAATAGCTAATAAACTACTATAACTTGCAAAACAGAACTAATTATATTACAAGTAATTATAATTTATAGCGGATGATAACGTTTAAGTAAAAAACACCAAAATTCCAGCTGAAAACTCTTCTGGCCCCTGACTGGTTTTCCACTGAATGCGAGAGCCTCTGGGGCTATATTTGGTTAAACAAAGGAAAAAGGAGGAAAGGCGGAGCATTATTTTGGCTTCCATGTTATAATTTCTATTTTTCACAATATATGTTGCTTTATTTCACGGAACCCCATTTCTGATGATTCTCTAAACTACTGAAGTGGGCTTTCTGCTCTTGGTTACCTGTCCCTTTATCAACTCAAAAGTGCCATGTATAACCCATCGTTTCATTTTCCTCCACAGCAATGTAATTTAGTTTTGCCTTAGCTATATCGCTGAAGTAACGTTCATTTAGAAAATATCAGCTGTGAAAGTTAAGGAATTATGTAGTGCAAGCTGTGAATTGAGCAAAGGTGACTCACGGGTGAAATGAAACAGATCACTCAATTACTTGTTGCCCTTAAACATGCACCAATGACCTAGGATACTGTTGTTGTTCTTCATATGTGCCTTGTTAGTAATCCTAACGGGGTTTTCAAGGTAAGTGAGATATTTAAGGAATAGTTATACCAGTCTCACACCCCCTGTGAGATTCCATGGCTGAGCAGGAATTTGAACCAGGCCTCCTGAGTCCTAGTCCATCACTGTATCTACTACACCAAACTGAGTATAGTGGATGACTTAGGATATCTCATCCTCAATTTGTTAATTAAAGAGAGAATGAATGAAAGAGCAAGAGACATACAGATGGACCCTTGGCTACTACATAAACTTTTGGTCTGTCAGTCCAGCTTTCGGACCAGATAGGCGGGGTATAAATCAAATCAAATCAAATCAAATCAAATCAAATCAAATAAATAAATAAATAAATAAATAAGCTTTCGCAGGAAAGGGATGATATTAAATCATCCTTTCACTTTCTCATGATGTTCAAGCTGTCAGTCGATCGATTGATTGATCGATCAATCAGATAAATAAATAAATAAGAATTTTTTGCATATAATCACAAAAAAAACCACTGTCCAATAAAAAGCTCAGGAAAACTTAAAAATGTAGCTCCTTCAACATGCCTGTCTGGATTCTAGGAGCTGGGTGGATGGGGATACAGACAGACAGAAAACAAGTTTTCTCAGTTCTGGTCCTGTGGGTGTCCAGTGGCAAAGGACAATTCCTATGATGCCTAAATATAAACCATATTTTCCTGCCGTGAAGCAGTACCCAAAATGGGCTGCCTCAGCCTGGCTAATGATGGCTCCAGTGCCGCCCGTAGCGAATAAATACACAAGCAAAAGTATCACTATTCTGCAAGCAAGAGGAGTCCCTATTGGATGTAGGGTTCTTTGTACTTTCTACAGGACTTGAGGAATGCAGTGAAGCTACCCTTCAGGTCAGGGAGACAAGAAAGCTGGATGAAACCACGGATGGAAACCATGGGGCAACCATGTTTTGAAATTTTCTTGGGAATCTACCACTAGCATATCAGGTGGTACTCCTGTTGCTGGGCTGACTACCGAATGAGCAAGGAGAAACACTTTATCCCATTTCAAAGGAGCAGCAGCTGCTATGGGATTGCAAGCGGGTCCCACCACAGGGAAGGAACGCCTCTGTCCTCAAAGCGAAGATCGATGTCTATAGAAAGATGTGCAATCCTGCACAGCCTTCATTGTCCCAGCAACTCCATTCCCTTTGTGTTTCGCTTTCTCAGAAGGCCAATTTCTTCATCGCTCTGATCTCTGGGCGCTGCGTTTTCATGGTCAGACTCCACCGAGAGCTCTCCTTTGGTGGTGTCTTCCGTTTCGCTGCAGCTGTCAGAGAAGAACCCTGCATTCTCTGCTATCACAGCAGGATCATCCTCTTCATAGTGACAACAGTAGCATTTCTCAAAATGGTGGCCATTCCCACTCTGGTCACTGAATGTGGCATGCTGGTCCTTCTCGTTCCTTGCTGCTGGGCCATCATTCACTAAGGCGAGAGCAGACAAAAGGGTTTCACTACACAAGTAATCCTCATCGTCCACAAACTCCATTCTCTCTGCTAGCTCTTCAGCAGATGGCTGGCTTGGGTCAGGGTAATCCACAAGAATCGTGCCCTGTCTGCGCTTGTAACAATCAGAATTATCATAGACAGGATAGGTCTCTTCTGGATAACCTTAGGACACAAAATAAACCAGTCTTAGAAAAAAATAATCATTCTGACACCTTATTCATATGATAGCAACAGATCTGGTCCAAGGACTGTAGATTGGAAGAGCCACTGAAATGTGGCCAAACAATGTAACACACGGGTGAGTAAAAGGCATCTCCCTGTCCTCAGACTCTTCACCCAATTCTTAGAAACCATAATTCCTCCAAATTGCACCCCTCTTCAATGTCACTGGGAGTTCGAATCTGCCCTTCAAATGCAATATGCCCCCGGGTCTGCCTGAGTCCACCTTTGATCCTTTTAAAGATGCCCAATGCCACGAAACTCCATTCCCTTAACCCCTGGTCTCCATCTCAGTGACAGCCACATATGTTTCTAACACTTCAGTTTTGAATAACATCCCCTATAAGCTTGGAGTGGAAAAAGCAACCAGCAAGATGTTATCTGCCATTTTAATGGAATTTCTCATATTGTTTTAAACAAAAAATAGTATATTATTTTTTCCAAAACTAAAAGTGACCAAATAATAATTTCAGTTTTGGAAAAAAAAATACTTTTTGTGAGCTGGAAGAGACCCAGAAAAACTGCCATTACGTAAAGTCCCAAATTGCATCCACAAGAAGCTTCTGGGGGCACAATTTGCCATTTGGAGTAAGGTAGGGTGGGGAAATTGTGTGTATGTGTATGTGTTGGGTGGTGTGTGCCACACTGTTTCAACAAGTGTGAGTGGGCAAAAATGGCCTCTGGGTGCTCAGAGGTTGCCCACCCCTCTTAAAAGCCCTTGGACATGTGTAAACAGTTTCCCTCTTTACCTTCCCAGTCTTGCATATATGGAGCCTCTTCAGCTTCTTGTTCTGGGGAGATTCCATCAATAAGCTTGCCTTCTTTCATGACCCTAGTAATTTCTCGGAGTTGCTGCAGCAACCTTTTCTCTTGATCAGTAGTGCCATTTTGGGCCCTGCTACAGAATAGAAATGTGAAAACATGACATTTTAACATTTTGTTATCTGCAAATGGCAAACTTGAATGGAGCTGGAAAAACAATGCAGTAGTGATCTATCAACCTATTGAAGTAAAACAGCTGGAAAAGCAGAGATTGGCATTCCACTCCCACTGCAATCGATATGCAGCCCACTGGAAGAGAGGGAGGAACTGGCAGCTGAGCCAGTATTTACTGAGACTCCGTCATAGTCATTGCTTATCAATCATCTCCATCCAAGAGCTTCCACATGTGGTGGATTACAACTTCTATCATTCCTGCCAGCAAGGCTTTACTGCAATTATAGTAATGGCTGGATACCTCAGTGAGTTAAGTATCTGATTGCAGAGCCAGAGTCCGATTCTCCACTGTGTCTTCCAGGAGTAGATCCAGCCAGTGTAGCCTTGGACAAGCTGTACAGTCCCAGAGTGTGCCAAGAGGAAGGTAACGGTGAACCATTTCTGAGTACTCTGTATCAGGGTTCCCCAAGCTCCGGTCCACAGCCCGGCACCAGGCCGTGGCCTTGGCAGGACCGGGCCATGGAGACAGATATTTCCCCCCCCCCGCATGCATGCTCACCCGCACGCATAGCCCACCCACCTGCACACATGGGTGCCCCGCCCAACCATGTATGCGTGCACAGATGCCCCGTTCATCTCTGCACACACCTCACCCATCCCCGCGCATGCCCCACCCATCTGCGCATGTGCCCCCCGCCCACCCACAAGTGCATCCCACCCATGCATGTGTGCGCCCCCCACCCTCCTGCGCATAGACCTGTCCACCAACCGGTTCACAGTTTAGAAAAGGTTGGGGACCACTGCTCTATGTCACTAAAACCGTAGAGACATGTGTGCAAGTCAGAATTGACTTGATGGCACATAATTACTATTGATAATGGTGCACTGCAGCCACTTCCTACAAATGATTGACTTTGAGATCTGTTAGAAGTTCCATCTTTCACTGCCCATAAGAGCTGCATCTGGCTAGTGCCAGGCTGGTTAAGGCTTGCTTAAGCACTTGTCTGGCTTAACATTTCAGATCCACTGTGGTTTTCCAGTGTTTTCAACAGAAGCTTGTATGGCTTCTGAGTCTGTCTTGTTCTCAAACTAAATTTAAAGAAACCACAGTTCCCAGTTTGGATTTCAAAGGGGAACTGTGATCACAGGTTAGTTTAAAGCCAGAAGCAGAGGCTTCTGATCTCACAGTGTTTAGAATTCTGTTGGTGGTTTATGCCAACTTGAGTATAATTTTGCATAAATATTGGTGACCAAGTTGTTTAATGAGTTTGCCACTTGCACGACTCGTTGCACACCAAATTGCAAAATGGGCATGTGTTCCAAGAACGCAAGCAACAACTAAACTCATTACCATAGTTTACACAGTTACACTTAAAAGTTGCATAAATCGCCAGCAGCGTTCGCACCTGTGGCTTGTACACAAAGTGGGAGACTATGATTTGTCTGAACTGGAACTGCCTTTCGGCAATTCAGTGTTTCAATGTTGCACAAATATACAAACCAGGGTTCTGTCCAGCTTTCGTTTTCAAACGATTATCTTCAGATACAGATGACTAGAATACTGGTTGTTTCCAAGTCAGACTCAAGTAATACTGATGGGTGCCTCTCTATAAGCATTCCCTATCCATTTGAATAACCTATTTCAGGACTCACAGGAAGTTTACCAACATCCTAAAGGTTCAGGGTACAGTTAGACATCCAGAAAGGCACATGTCTGATTGCCCCTGAAAGGGTCGCTTTGCAGGGAGTGATTTCCGTTAAGGTGACCCTTTGTCTGCCAGGGAAATGCTCCAGATGGGTCCCAAAATGCAGTCGCCCTATAGCCGGACCAAAAAGACTGAGCTTGGCCACAGATCAGAGTCAAGCTAGAGCACATGCACTGTATGGCAGCTCAGAAGTAGAATGCACCAGACCACTCTATAAGCGGTCCAAAATGTGCTTTCCTGGGTAAATGCACTCTTAGAGACAGAAGGTGAGGGACCTGAGAGAACAAACAAAGTTGTGCTCCATACACTGACTTGAACCCCCACTTTAAAAAAAACAACAACACAGTTATTTTATTGCCTACAATAAAAGAAATCATTGGCACTGAGTGATGATATAAGAGACCTCACAGACTTTAGTGACTGGGAAACAAATGGAAAGAGTGCTCTTTTGCACATTTTTACCTCTTGCAAGGATCAAGTGACTCATGATTTTTTATCATCATATTCTCCCATTCTGATTAAATTCCACACCAAGGGGAAAACATTCACACTGTTATGTTTTAAAAAAAAACAAAACAAACACACACACACACACACCTTCTAGACACAAGAGTGCCATCCTACACCTTTGTGGATGACATCCTTTCTCAGTCCCATTTTCCCCGTTACATAATATTTCACATTTACTTAAACAGGAAAAGAACAAATCCATCCTGTTTAAATGTTTTTAACACAGGGGGCAGCAAATGACAGATTTACCTCTGGACGCATTACCAGATTTCTGGATCCAGAATTTCTGACTCCCAATTAATTAACAATAAGAAGAACAAAGTCATTTTAGCCTACCCTGGATGCTGCTGCTGGAAATGATGAAAGCTTGATGTAATCAGAATGGGATTTTTGCATGGAAGGACTGCAGGCTAGCTGTGTTCAGTGCGGGTACAGTATTCAAAACAAATTCTTTTATCTATGTAACACAACAAGCTTGGCAAGTGACAGAGATCTGACCACATGCAAAACTAAAAGAGATGCAAATAAGTGGCAAGGTTTCTTCATACCACGTCACCAGCAAGAAGAAAAACAGGAGGAATGACACAGTTAGGAACATAAGGAAAGCTACGCCAGATTCAATCAAAGGCATGTACAGCCCAACATTTTGAATACGTAACAGCCAAGCACTTTTCTGTGGGAAACCTGCCAGGAGGACATGAGTGCAAATTCTGCCTTTGCCTCAGCGGTCCCAGCAACTGATATTAGAGAGGTGTATGGCCTCTGATACTGGAGGTGCCAAAGAGGCATCCTGAATAGCTAGGAATGGTCTTAACCTCCAACAAATTTATCAAACCACCTTTTAAAAATTTCTAACTTGTCAGCCGTTACTACTTCTTGATGCAGTGGAACCCACAGTTTAATTATGCCCTGTAGTAAAAGGCAGGTTGTAATGCAACGTTTTGAAAGAAAAACAAGAGATGGCACAGTACTTTAGGATTACAAGGATGCATCATTCACATGTTACTGAATTGCTCCCCACAAAGGATCTTTGCTACTTTTATTAGGATTCTTTTGGCTTCTCTCAAACTTCCCTAGCTATTTGTTTCCAGCAGGCGCCCTATTCCTTTCACCATGTACCTTGGGTAAAATCAGATCGATTCAGTATCTCCTGATCTGTATAACTAATTCACAGACAATCGGTGACAAGCCTGAAACCCAACAGAACTGGAAGAGGAAAGAGCACAATACACTGTGATGAATTAGCTTCCAAATAATGAAGAAAGGAAGCTGCTGCTTGAAAATCTTCAAGAGATTTATATTCCAATTGAAAGACATACAGTAGTTGCCTTTTAAATGTCTGATGTATGCATTTTAGATCCAGATGCAAAAGAGAATTGCTCTTTCAGATTTACTAAACACATATACACAATCACAGACACATACACATACCTTTCACAGTTGGGTCCTACTCGATTGATTAATTTTTCCATGGCTTCTTCGGTTTCTCTCAGCTTTTCTTGAAGCTGGGCAAGCTCATAGTCGGCTGGAAAATAGCAGCAGCAGAACCACCACTGTCAATAAACTCTTTTAAACCAGCAAGGTTTATCTTCAGTATTCAGCAAGCAAAACTGGAACTCGTTTCAAAGGAAGCATAAGAGGTGACTTAAAAGGCTTTTACCAGTAAATAAAAGTAATGGAAACAGTATTTTATTGTTCCGAAGCAGAACAGAAGGGAAAGGGAAAGGTCCCTAAGGCTAAAAGAAGCATGCATAATGCACCCAGTTGCTCATAAGCAGCTACCTGCAGAGTGACTGGTTGAGTGAAAATGCCTAGAGACAAGAAAGGCTGACACACAGCAAGCCACACCATTTAATGACATAAAGGGTGTTTAGCAGTGCAGCTAATGACTATTTTGGTCCCAAGAGAGGAGATCAAAGTTGCAATCCAGTGCATAGTTCCTTGGGAGTTAGCCTCACTGAATGGAGTGCAATTTACACATGACTAGAAATATGCTGAAAATAACAGAAAAAGCAAACAAATGAGCTTAAGAATTTGTTTTTTTAATTTATGCATCATTTGCATCCATGTTGCAGAATGCTATTGGAGATTTCCATATTAAAAAGGGACAGCCAGATAGGATACAGAAGTTAAGGGCGTCTAGACCAGGACCATAAAAACATCTCACTGGATATGTGGGAAAGGGTTTCTTACGTACTTTAAAATGTGTAACCCCCCCCCCCCCAGTAGAGATCATGAGCTGCTTTTGAAACTCCCCTCAATGCAGTGAGGCAAGATGATGTTGCTATTAAATCTGAAGACAAGGGTCGATGATACTCCTTTTTTAGGCCCTCAACAATCACAAATATAAGCTAACTTTCAGCTTCTCTGGAGTCTCCATCAGGCTGGGCACCACAGAGCTAGAGGTTGTGCAGAAGGAAGACAGCAGTTCCAAAACACAGGGTGACATGTGAGTGCCAGAGTCCTTTGTTCAAAGCAAGTTTCAAAGCAGGAGCTGCAGACTCATGTCAGAAAGTGTATGTTTCCAATTTCACCTCTGGTGGTGTGGTAAAGAAGCCGGGCCAGCACATTTGGCCATGGAGTCTGGAATGGGTACGTTTCTTCTGCATCACCTCTCAGCTTTGTGGTGCCCTGTCTGACTGAGGCAATTTATTGTTTGTCTTTTATGATGATAATGATGATAATGATATTTTATTTTATTTAGTGGTGTAATAAAGTTATCACCCACTCTTTCATGGCCACACAATTTTCTTTTTTGGTTGCTATTAAAGAAAGATAAATCTTCCCTGGGGTGAACAGAAATAGGAGTTTCCGTATTTTCAGAGAATTGAATCTCTTCTCTATACAGTAATTGGCTGTACATTTACTTAGGAATAATTCCAGTAGAAGTCAACCAGGCTTCAATCTGAGCAAACATGTATAGGATTGTAGTATAAATGTATAGCTCAAAGATAACTGGCCTAAATCCAAATGTCAGAATAGGCATGCTGAATCAATGGGAATTACATAAGTCATTGATTCAGTATGTAAATGTCAATGATTCAATAGGTCTGCTCTAGTCTAGACTGACAGCAGATATAGAGCATCACAGGATATAACATTTTTAGAGTATCAATACAAGGATAAGTAAGATGTTAAAGACAGCACATAATCATGTTGGCAAAAGCATAGAGAACAAGTCAAGTTCAGTTATGAAATGAAAAATACTGTGCTGACTAAAAAAAATAATTATCTCTCAGAATGAGCTGTGAATGTGAAAACTCAGACCGCAACATTATTAATAATGTTAATAATGATGCTTATTATTTTCAATAATATTGGATTTTGTATTTGCAATACTATAATGAACTATGACCTTGAAAACAGGTTGCTCAGGATTAATTTAATGTGAAGCAATGTAAAAATATAAAGAATGACAAGGTGTAACTGTGAACGACTGGAATTAACTTGCTCTCAAGATGGGTCTATTGGCCAGCATGCAATGAGGAACCTCTGCTGGTGGAACTCCTCTCATTAGTAGAACTGGGAGCTGAACAATCTTCCCACAGCACTTCCCCAAAACTCCTGCTCTAGAGGGCTAGGAAACCTTCCAGAGGTGGTTTTCAGGCACTGCTAAAGGCTCCAGGAAAGGAGGAAGAGGTTCTCTACAACCATGCAGTGTTGATTTGGGTCATTTTCTTCTTTCTAGTGGAACCTATCACCTAATACAATTTAAGCATTAAAGTATGTTTCATGAATGTTGAGAGTCACCAATCTGCTATTTTCCAAGGCAGTAATTAGATAAGTTTGGGAAAGGAAGCCTTCAGTTGTACTGAATTAAGCAGATAGGAATCCAGCCAGCCCTTTTACCTACCTTTATCACAGGAATGGACAACATGGATCTGTTTCAGTCACTGTTATGTACAAATACTTTGAAAGAGACAACCTCTGTCTCCATTGTCTCGAATTATATTCTGTGAACATTGTTGTAATTCTGTTATGTATAGCGAATAATAATAAGAAACTTATTGAAGGATAGAGATGCTGATGTGAATGTCTAAAGCAATATAGGTAAAGCAAGTGTATAAACTAAACATGCTATCTCCCATCCCATCCCTTGCAAATGGCAACTGAAATGTTGTATTCAGTCTGTTTTGGAATGACCTTTGTTATTCTGGGAACTTCTAGAAAAGATGGCTCCTGACACTGGTGCTAAAAAAATGTGGTGGGTTTATCTTGTTTCTGCTTCCTGAGTGCAATTTTATATGTATGGAAAGAATATGAGGTGGGAAAATACAGGAGGATTACAAATGGAAGACCATATTATCTGGACATCCTGTGAAATTATCTGAACAACATAGGACAACTGCATAATAAAAGCTTAATCAAGAAGAACCTCTAGTTATTTATTTTGGGGTTAGTTGATGTTATTATTTTGCAATGCTTTGAGTATAATTTCTATGCAATTTCTATTGTTTTATGAACACATCATCATAACAGTCATCATCACCTAGAGCCACCGTGCCCCATCTATTACAATGGTGAGTTTATTTTTCGAAGCTCAAAACAATGCTGGGTGTAATTTCATCTCAGCTTTATAACTTACTGATCTTCCTGTTTGTATTTCCAGACCCTGAAGAAGGACATTTCCGCTCAGTTGTCGTGGTCTTCCCCTTAGAAGAAAGCTGTCAATTGGAAATAATCATTATTTATGGCAAAGGCGTTTCCTGAAGACATCAAGAAAGAAGAAAAGGCTGGGTTCAGTCACTGTCGGAAAGCATAACCATTTCCATTATTATCCACGTGAGCCATAGGGAGCCTTTGGATCACTCACTCACTACCCTCCCCCACTTCATGTGCCAGAGGAAGCAGGAAAAAACCTCCAAATTTTAGGTATTTTGAGGATCACCATTCCTCCATATACTTAAACTTAGGGAATCATGGTTTATGTAAAATCTAGTTAGTGAACAGACCAGGACTGCAAACAATCCTGAGCCCAGTATATTCTGAACAAAGTTTAAACAAGCCACACTTCCTTAGTTCTGAACACCAGGGGAATAGTGATTAACAGAAACAGAAATGGAAGAATTTAATCCTTTTTCTTGACCCGAAATCATGATTTCCTCAAATGGATGTCCTGCAGCAAGAACTAAACAAGAGGAAGTATCTCGCATTATGTGACCAGGAGGAGAAAACTCATGCAACTGATCTTTCCCTTTCCCTCCTCCCACATGTCAGTGCTGTCCAGAGGATTCAGGGCATGTACCAAACACTGACCACAAATCTGTAGTTTAATATACAAAATCATACTAGAGTAAGCCTACTGAATTAATTGGGATTTAATTAGTCAATTCCTCTGTAAGTTGCATTGATTTAAATGGGCCTACTTTATAAAGTAAGTTGCAATTACAGTAGGACTATTTGAATCACTGGAGCTTAAGGACACAGAGTAGGCTCATTTGAATCTCTTGATTCAATGGGCTTATTCAAGTGCAATTCACTACACTAAGGGACAGGATTGTGGCCACTGTAGGAATGTATTTCACAGGACTAAGGGAAGGGGAGAGAAAAACCCCAGATAAGCAGAGAATTTCACATAAGCCTCACATGGTTCTGATTTCAGCAATTCCGCCCCCGCCCCCCGCCACATAATATGCAATCCATAATGTTTATTTATTTAGGTTTATTTGTTCATGTCCTATATCGTCTTCAAGGAGTTCAAATACATGTTTCTCTTCCTCTATACTTTGTCCTCACTATTACCATGTGAGGTAGATCAGACTAAGAGGCTGTACCTTGCTCAAGGTCACACAGTGCCCAAAATATAGCTGGCACAACTACACTATGAAAATGGTGGCAATGTCATCATCTGGCACCCTTCATCTTTAAAATGAGCCAAAGACAGAATACAGTGGAAGCTCTACTTAAGAACTTCATCCGTATTGAAATGATGTTCTTAAGTTGAAACGTTCTTAAGTTGAAGCAAAATTTCCCATAGAAATGCACTGAAAACTGATTAATCCATTCTGGCTGGTTTTTTTTGTTCTTATGTAGAGGCGCGTTCGTACATTGAAGCAGTAGTCCCCATAGGAACTAATGCAAAGCTGATTAATCTGTACTCTACCTAAGAAGGTTAAAAAGGGCAGGAAAGTTTTTTTTTTGTTCTTATCTTGGAGCTCTGTTCTCAAGTAGAAGCAAAATTTAGTGAACAGAGCTGTTCTTAAGTTGGATCATTCTTAAGTAGAGGTTCCACTGTATGTTGGTTTTCTGGTTCCAAAACACAACCCTCCTCTAGCTGATTATATCTTAGCCTGGAAGACCTGAAGGAGACCCAAAAAGCAAATATCTGGCTGTCACACACTCAAGAAGCAGGGACAAGTCAACAGGGAGGACTTCATCCCAAACCAACATCATTGTTTACACTGAGAAGGGCAGCTCCAAGAGTTTTGCCAGTTGGCATAGAATATTAGGGAAAGGAGGATGAAAGTTTAACACACCATAACAGTGTTACACATTGGAAATTTACACTGAGAAGGGCAGCTCCAAGAGTTAGAATATTAGGGAAAGGAGGGTGAAAGTTTAACACGCCATAACAGTGTTACACATTGGAATCTAGCTGATTCCTCTCCGTTAATGCCTTTGTGCATATTGGTAGAGAGGTACTGTACATAGTTCACAATAAATGTTGCTTTTTGTTTGAACTGGGACTCTGAGCTTTCTCTTAAATTATGGAGAATACCAAGGTTCTGTTTGTGATTCTCATCCCCTCAAGGGAGGCATACCCCTTTCACAATAGAGGACGGAAAGATCTATTCTAGGAGTGTTCCTTCTGCTTGGGTAACATCAGAGATGGAAACGTAGAAGTCTAAAAATTCTACCAGTGGAGGTGGAAAAATAGAAGCAAATGAAATTCAGATAAGTGAAATCTGGCAGGAAGTGTTTAATACAAGTGATATGGTGAAACTGAGACTGACAGGAAGTATCCTTCCTATCCTGGAAGGGTAAGACAGGATGAAAAGTTATGTCCTTTTTAAATTCTAGCCTGTTATCTTTGAATTCTAGCTCATTTGCTTTCCTTTGTGTGGCAAAATACAAACAGTAACAATAGGAAGAGCTTTCTAGCTGTTCCAACCCCAACCTCTCAGGATCAGAAAACCGCCACAAAGCCGTGTGCCTCCCGTTTGCACAAAAGCTCAGTGGTGGCTATTGAGCTCTTCCTATACAGCCCAGCTTGGTTCTACCATCTGTGACTATGGCATATGATGCAGCAAAGTCTATTGGAGAGAACACACCCATCTGTTGCTCAGCCAGTGCATTCTATCCCAATAAGCTTCAGCAGAGTTAAAACAAACAGAGCCTTTGGCATGCTGATTTTATTAAAACTGGTTCAAGATTCAGAACTCTCAAGAGATGAGAGCAATGGAACTGTAGTGTTAAGGGCAGAGGGGAAATGACTTACCTTAAAAAGAATGTACAATATGTATAAAAGGATTCCAAATCCATATATTGGGATGACTTGGCCCACAAGTCCTCTTCCACTGCCACTCCCTCTAGTTCCACCGCTGCCACCACCTCCTCCTGCTCCTCCACCACCACCACCTTTCGCTTTGGCAATGGCTTCTGCAAGATGAGACCTTGGGAAATGGGTAGTAGGTGGTCTGGTTTCTGGATGGATTTGGGGATGCATGGTTGGAGGAAATGGGCTGGTCTTTCCTGAAAATCAAGGTTGAAAATATTTAGTTTGAAATGAATATTGTATGTTAAGGCAGTTTCTATCCTATTAAAATAAAACTAGCTCTTAACTATTGGCCATTAGGATGTTTGGGGACCTCCATTTGCAGAATTCATGAACACTGGCTGGACTAGCTATGGTTTGGGGGAGCTGAAGCCCAAAACACTGAAATGACCAAAGGCTGAGAACTACTGCTTTTGAGTGTTTTAATTCCCTATGGCAACAAATAGAGCATGTACAGAAACAAAAACAGTTTGTTTAGCTGAGTTGTTATACAAAGGTAGTGAATTTCCAGCTGAAAGGATTTCTGCCTTGACTCTCAATCACAATCTGTCAAATACTAAGACCTTCTGTCATTACCGCCACTCAACCACTGATAAAGTTATCAAAAGTGAAGGAACAAACAATGATGCAAGAACAAACAATTCCCAAGAGCCCATTTCTTGATCCACCCACAGGACCCTGTGCTCACTGTGCCCTCCTACCCATAATTAACTGGGGATAGGTGAGTAGGCAAAGTCTTCAAGGAAACTTATCTGCACAGTGCAGGGGAGCTACTTATATTTCCCTTGGTGGACCAGAGTGAAAACTCCTCCTCTGCCACCGGCCAAGGAGGATTCGCTCTCCTCCCTAGCCAGCTGGCCTTGATTGGCTGGCCAGGATAAACTCCTAAATGGTGGCCATTTCCCCACATTGCAAATAGGGTCCTTTCTGAGTCAGGGCTGAGGGACCCTTGCTTGACAATCTATACTCAAGGTGAGTTTTTTAATTTTATTTTCTTGCAGCCAAAAAATCACCAGTTTACAAACCATAACAATTGTCTATCACTATTTTAAAAATACTTATTTTTATGAATATGTCTCTTTCAGGTAGACACAATCATTTCGAATACACTCTTAATTTTACATGGAAAACATTTTGTGTAAGTTGCTCTGTTAAACCATATGCATGGATAACCAGTAAAAGATTATGTGTAGATCTCTCTCACATCGGTGACATTTCCTTTGATAGTTCCCTGCCAATCTGCATAAAAATGCAGCTTTTCCATATAAATACACATGGACATAAAACCTACATATAGAATAATCATATATAATGTTGTATGCCAATGTTTTATGTTTTTTTAATTCTTTATGATATGTTGTAAGCCGCCCAGAGTGGTAGAATATACCAGATGGGCGGGATATAAATCGAACAAATAAATAAAATAAAATAAATACCGTATTTTTCGCACCATAAGACACACTTTTTTCTCACAAAACGGGGGTGGTGGAAAGTCTGTGCGTCTTATGGAGCGAAGAAAACAGATTATATTTTCCTGTTTTCTTCTCCTAAAAAATTGGTGTGTCTTATGGAAAGGTGCGTCTTATGGAGCGAAAAATACGGTAATCATCCATAGCTTTGCTTATCATGGTACTAATAAGTTACAGAAGAGAATGACCGTTTTTCCTTCCTAAAGCACAGTATATATTGTATACTCATGGTTTTCTACTTTAAATATGGCCTTTCACTGTTGTAAGCTGCACTGGGTCCTTTTCAAGGAGAAAGATGGGGTAAAAATATTCTAAATGAAATAAATAAATTATTCCAATGAATATAAAAAGTAAAACAGGAAAAAAATTGACTTCTGATAATAAACCACTGTACTGAATTATAGAAACAAGTGAGACTTTTCAGGAGCAACATCTCTTCACCATTTTCAGTCTTTCCCTGGATACTCACTGGATATTCTGGGGCCATTAAGACATACTCAGCTCTCACGAAGCTGCTGCTTGGTGCTTCCACACCCACACCCATCACTGGCCAAGTAGAGCAAAGGGAGGGGGGCAATTTCCTGGCCCCCAGGACCCTCTGGGCCTATACCAGCCCCTCCATGTGAAATGAAAGTGACCAGAAAACTAGATCTGGTTTGAAGGAAAAAAATGTATCAGCTACAATGGGGCTGTTGTTGTTGTTGTTGTTGTTTTGTGCCATCAAGTCACTTCCAACTTATGGCGACCCTCTGAATGACCGATCTCCAGAATGTCCTCTCCTCAACAGCCCTGCTCATATCCTATAAATTCTAGCCTATGGCTTTCTTTAGGGAGTCAAGCCGTTTTACGTTTGATCTTTCTTCTTTTCCTGCTTGCTTTCCACCTTTCTCACCCTTATTATTGTCTTTTCCAGAGAATCCTGCCTTCTTATTGTGTACCCATTGTTTATTTATTTCACAAAGTGAAAAGGAACTGCAATTTTTATAGCAAAATTGCATCCTGGGGAAGGGGAATTTTTTAAAAAATCACTAGCCCCTTTGAGAAGGGGATTCCATGGCCAGCAGACCACATGGCCAATGGGCTGCCTGATTTCCACCTTGGTTTATTTCCCTCTTAAAAGCTTCAGGCTCCAGCAACTACTGCCCTCTTGTGTGAATGGTGCCACTAACAGCGTACAAAAACATAACATGAAAGGAATGTTGTGGCATTACCAGCTTCCAAGTGACAATCCCAAAACCAATGGCCATCCCACTGCAAACTGCCCTTTTAGGTATTTTCTTGCCTCACATACATGCAAACCCAAATGCCTTACTATACTTTTCTCAGGGGAACAGCCACCATCAGGATCGCCTTCAGATCCAACTCTCACTATTCTTTGTACACCAGGGTTTTGTTGTTGGCTTTTAGTTTTTATTTTTCTTTAACTGTATTGGCATCAGTGGCTGGGTGATCTCTCATTCACAAGAGGTGTTTCACTGAAACTGCAACAATGCTTTGTAATAAACAACAGGCACAGAAGTAGTTAACAGTACAAGGAAGGTATCAGCAACAGGATTAGAGAGTCTGAAGAAACACATGTTCATGAAAGTCCTAATGAAAAATAAATAAGAGAATAAATAACAGAAGTGTTTAAAATAAACTATTTGTTCACCTTTAATTCATCCAGCACCTTTTCAGATTTAAAATGGCAGTCTCACAGATAAACGGCTATGACAGAACTCAACCTTGAGGAAAATGGCTATGGAGATTGCACTCTGGGTATTGTTTTCTAAAGACATCTACTTGTCTTAAAATAGGTTTTCTTATCTGTTGCGTATTTGAGGAGCCTTGTGATGTAGTGGTTAAACTGCAGTACTGCAGCCCAAACTCTGCTCAAAAAACCAGGTAACTGGCTCACTCAGCTTTCCATTCTTCCAAGATTAGTAAATTGAGTACCCAGGTTGCTGAGGGGCAGGGAGATGTGTAGCCTATAGAATTAAATTGTAAACCACCCAGAGAGTGCTTTAAGTGCTAAGGGGCAGTATATATGCATCACACTTTGCTTCTTGTTTCTAGTAGGGAGAACCTTCCTTAAAACTAATGCTAGTATGCAAAGACAGCATGTGGCACAGCAATTCATAGATTCTACTAAGAGGAGGGTGATATAACAAAAGAGCATCCTGCCTGTAAAAAGTCAGCTTCTTGTCTCTTTTGGAGTCATTAGTCCATAGAAGTTTATGCTGTGATGCAATTGGTGGGTCAAAAGATTATTTTGTATCTTTTACATCCAGTTGGTGGATTTGGAGGCTTTACTTTAAAAAAAAGATTAAGGTAACTCTTACAGAAGTCTGCTTATTGTCACTGTAATTTTTTTAAAGAGTTGAAAGTACTGCAAGTCTTTTGATGCTTCTGCAACAAATTAATATAGCCATTCCTCTGAAAGTTGTATTCAATTATTTTTTCCAGTTATCAAAGAAAGGGGAAATACTGTAGACCATATGAAATCTAGTTTGGTGAAAGATATTTTTCAGTTAAAATATACTTGTGTTTCCTTTGCCCTTGAAAAGCACAAGTCCTTTTCTTATCTGGACAGAAACATATTCCTGTCTCTTAAGAAATCAATTGTATTTGGAAAGTACTGCCTCTCAAGTATTTAATACAATTTCCTCTTATCCATTAAATTGGTCAAAGCCAATTCTCATCAGTACTTCCATGCTTCATTTTGAGAGCTGTGAGCCCAGGTGGATTTAAAAGAGCTGTCTAATTGTAAATGGTTAACACTAGAACTATATTGATTTTCAAAATGATAGTTTCTAATTGAAACTGCAGTTCAATTAATGTAATTGACTAAGTGGACAGGAATATTATGCAGAATAGGGTACAGTGATTCTCACTGTGCCATAGCTTTTATTCCTTTAATTGATAAACATGTCCATTATCTACAACAGGATCTAGGCACAAAAGAATTACTCCTCCCTGCTTCCTAACAGCACATTCTAGTAATTTTTAAAATAGGTTTTAGATATGCGAATAACCAACCACTGGTCACGTTACTCAGTTTCCAAGTAGAAAGCAATGTTTCCAAATGTAGTGACAATGGGAGAATATAACACACCATGCGACCACCACCACCCCGCCCCAGTTTTTGGCACAAAGTCACTGCTATGTGAAAGTGCTGATAATGGAAACTCTGGCAAGCCTTACTGGTTCCAGAGTACTCTGAAGGCTTTGAGACCTCTGAATTTGGCAGGGAAAGGCCCTGTACTAGATCACAAAAGAACAATTCCCGAGATGGCCAAAGAGCTAGAACTAGTCTAGAGATTGGTATCTTTGCTCTTTCAAAATACTGTACCATCTTATAAACTGGATAAAAAAATTAATTTCTAAATGGAGGGTAACTCTCTTCACCCATGACTATATTAGCTTGGTAGAATACACAGAGCACATACTACATATTATTCAAAACTGCAAGAAAGCTACAAAGCTGTCTGTCGACCTTTAGTAAGTTTTTCATAGACTTTCTTTGGTCAGTGAACACCTGTAGGTTTCTCCTGGCATTTAAAGAAATGTTAGGGTTCCTTAGCTTATGAAGCATCAACAATGCTGAAGAAATTTGAAACCCAGCTTGTTTACTATTGCAATATCATAGGCATCCTTCGGTCTTGAGAGACTATGGTAACGTGCTCTGTATGGACGACTTGGAACAGCGTCTAGTGTTCAAGGGTGGATCTGTGAGGGTCCTTACAGGCCACCCCCTACATCAACTGAGAAATCTACCCTATCATTTACTCTTCAAGTAATTTCTAATCATTTTGAATATATGTAGTTGCAGAACTATTAAGTTCTGTGGAACCTGGTCCAGACATATTCAAGACATGAGTTTGATTTGTGGAATGATATCTATGAGTTTAAGTTCTGTGGAACCTGGTCCAGACATACAGTATTCAAGACATGAGTTTGATTCGTGGAATGATATCTATGAGAGGAAAGAATGGAGCGAGCCTGTTTAGTAGGAATACCAGCCATTGCATTTGTCTTCATGAACACTTTAAACAGATTTTAAGTAGTTGCTTTGGTACATTGTGCAATGTAGCAGTGAAAAAAATCATGGCTATTTTCATTGTTTAATGCATTAAGGTTGATAGGTACAATGCAAATGACACAGAACAGAGCCAGGCAACGTCTAAAATGAAATGGATGCATCTCAGGTACAGTAGCTGCAAGATGGGTTATTTTCTCAAACCTTTGTGAATCTGGCTCTTCTTTCTCATTATTATTTACAGTATGTAGCCATAGTAAATCTCCTAAAGCCAATGTGAAAGAAAAAATGTATGTACAGGTATGCAATCTGCTGCTGCACATCAGGTTCTGTGGCCTGAATTATGACTCTAACACTGACTTCTGAAGATGAGTGTGCACCACTCTCACACAGACACAATGCAATCACTCAACATCTTGAAATAAGCACAACTAGGGATATAGCACTTCACTGAGGTTTTGTACTGGTCTACTGAATCAAGCCATGCATTTGAAAGACCAATCACATGTTTTTAGTGCTATTGATAAAATAAAGTGAAAATAGAATGTGTGTGAAAGTCTAACACTTGGGTTACTAAAAGATTATGAACCATTGTTTTATGGAGTTTTATTAGTGCAACTTCACAAGGCTAAATGGGATTTTCTATGTCTGAATGAGAACTTGAACCCTAGTCTCCTGAGTCTTAACCCATTATATGCACAGTAAAGGAAGACTTAGGGAAAACAAAAGGAAAGAAAATGGAAGAAGAGGAGGAGAAGAAAGAGAGGGAGGGTAATTTATTAGCTTCTTAATGCTGCTGTTGTTACTTCTAAGCTTTTGGTTGCTGGCAATCTAAAAGATCTGTAAAGCAGTTTTAAACAATGTCTTAAATGGTTTATTGTAGAGTCAAGGTGATGACTAAAGATGGGGGTATCCATACACAAATATCCCCCCACAGGTGCAGATAATGAGGGCCCGGCCCCCTGGGGCCAGGCCACTCACCATCCTGCCACTGCCGCTCCACGGTCCCTTCCTATAACTCTGGAGTTCGCAATGGATTAGCCACTCTTTGACCTGGCAGAGAGGCTCACCATCCCGCCTTCTGCCAGGAGTGGCTAATCTATCACAAGCAATAGAGCGATAGGAACAGACCACAGAGGCCGTGGCAGCAGAATTATCAGTGGTTGGTCTAGCCCCAGGGTGCCAGACCTTTGTTATCTGCACCTATGGGGGATATTTGTATACGAATACCCCCATCTCTAGTGATGACACTAACATACAAAGCCCTAAACTGTTTTGGACCTTGATACCTGGCAGAACGTCTTCTTCTAATAAGTTCTGCCCGCCCTACTCATGCATCCCAGGCAGGGTGGTTGAGAACATTAGTCCCAAAAGAGGCTGGAAAGGAAAAGAGCAGAAATTGGGCCTCCTTGGTGGCTGCACCATGTTTGTGGAACCAGCTCCAACCCAATATTCACCTGACCCCTTCATTGGCTACCTTTAAGAGATTGTTGAGGCCCTGGCTAATTAGACAGGCCTTCCAGGCTATTCCATCTACAAGACAGAGTGCTAACCAACATCTAAGCTAGTGATTCAACCACCATGACTGGTTGTAATCAATGCAATTGTTATGTTGCATTTTCAGTTTATAATGTCTTTAAGTTTATAATGTTTTCCGCATTTTGTTTTTTTATATTATTTTGATGATAATTTTGTGTTAATTTAATGTTGATTATTATTCTCACTTTGTTATGAACTGCCCAGACTGGCCTTGGTAGCCAATGGGCAGTATACAAATCAAATAATAAATTTACTATAATCTAAAATTGGTTACATGAGCTGTAGCCAGATGGGCAGTATACAAATCAAATAATAAATATACTATAATCCAAAATTGGTTACATGAGCTGTCCACCTAGCAGAACAAGTCATAAATGATGTAAGCTACCTGAGACTGGAATGGGAAGAGAGAGCTGTTTGGTTCATTTATATGAAACTAAATTTGTACCTTGCAGTCTTCAACACAGAAGCTCTCACAATATGTAACAGGAGTGGGCAAAAGGTGCCCTGCCAGATGTTTAACTGCAACTTCTAACATCCTTCGTCAGTGCCTATGCTGGCTAGGAATGATGGGTACTGCAGTCTACTCAACATCTGAAGATTTGTACCTTGCCCATCCCAAAATATAGCATATTTAAAAAGGCTTGAATGATAATTTATGCAAATGCAGTTGAAATATGATAACTCTTCAATTTCCAATGATATAAATATACCCCTAGTGCTAGTCCTGCAATTTGCTGCCTATAATAATCATCTTACAACTGCAGAGCTGGAATGTTACACAGTAGACATGTAACTTTAAAAGTGAAATAAGAATGTAATTAGAAGGCGAATGAAGCAAGGAGTGGAAGCTCTTAGTATCCAAAGGGCCTAGCTATGCTTTCAGGAGACAAGCTGCAAAAATACTGCAATATCAACCACAGCTGACTTCCCCTATGCATGAGAAACTAGTAGGCATCATGTACCAGAACAGCCACCCTAAAAATAATGAAAACTATGACCATGACATGCTACCCAACCTTCATCCTCTACTGCCCAACAGAGGATGAAGAAAGTTACATTACAATAAAGATGAAAACACAAAATGGATAATTGTTATGGTTTTTTTTTATTTTATACAAAATATTCAAAGTATGGTATATGAAGAAAAACAATTATGAACACAGGGAAATGAAAATGTATAGAAAAGCAATTTTATGATACAGTATTTCATTACAGTACTGGCAATAACTGATACTTCAAGGGATGGTTAAAAAGAATTACACAACTTTATTAAGATAAAGTGGACCAGATAGGCGGGGTACAAATTAAATAAATAAATAAATAAAACAGAAACAATATGAACAGTACAACCCCCTGCACATCTATGCACAAGTTGACTGGTGCCTACAGTAAGGCAGGTGCATTTAGAATTACACACACAACACTGATGTTCCAAATTATTCCAGTACCAGGGGATTATGATGTTTACCATGCCCACAGCTTACTAAATACCTTGAACAAACTATAGATGAAATTAAAATGCTGGAAGTTCACAAAATCACTTTGGAATCTTATTTTGCTAAATCTCAACTGAATGGCGACACACTTTAGCCAAGAAAACCTGCGAAAATAAGGCATATCAAATCAGTTAAACTTTCTTGAAAGGCAACTAACTCTTCAGCATACTCCTTCTTCTCTCTTATACCCAAAAACTCTGCAGATTAAAAAAAAAAACAGGCCTAGACTTAATGAACTACTTTGTTAAGCTTCAGTTCCCATAAATTAAAAGAGGCAGATTTTAACAGTTTTGTTTTAATGAGAAAAAAAATGTAGCACTGTAGTATCTAATACTATTGATATAAATAAAAGAACATATGGCTTTCGGAAAGGGTGGCATTTGGCTTCACCGACTAAAAGCATCCACAGGGCATCCAACGACCCACGCGGGTCTGTTCGTGCCTTTTATTTTCCCTCCACGACCAGACACGTGGAGGGAAAGGGCTCCCACCGAGCCCTCCACACCCAGCCCCCATTCCGCGGCACCTCCAGGACCGTCAGCTAGAAAGACCAGCCGCCTCCTCCGCCGTCCCCGGGGCGGGCCCCTCCCTGCGGCCCTCTTCCCCGGGGCGCCCCTCCCTGCGGCTCTCTTACCCTCGGGCACGGAGACCGGCGTGGGCGGCCCGTCGGCCCCGGGTTCCTGCAGCCTCCAGCCCCTGGAAAGGAAGATTTTGGGCAGGAGCAGGGACACGCACAGCACCAGGCAGGAGGCCAGAGCTACCGTGCGGAACGTCGGGAACGCCATGGCCAGCGCCAGCGCCCGCCTTCGCGACCGCCGAGCCCGGACCCTGAACGGAAACCAAAAGATTGTTTTTTCCCTCGGCAACGTCACGTCCGCGCCCTCCCTTCTCTCAGCTTCGCTCTCCCGGAGAGTTGGGTCGCCTTCGGGGGGGGGGCGAGGGACGCGAGCGCGTGCAAATATTAGCATACACAAAAACGCCGGAAACATGCGCCCTGGCTCTTTCTGAGGCCTTTGTCCACAGTGGCTGCGAATGGAACAGGGGCGGGCCTAGGCTAAGACTCTGATGTGATTGAACAGCCTTTGCACCGGAGGGAGGGGGGAAGGAGGCGGGCCTTAAGAATTCCAGCCGTCCCCGCTCCAGTGGGAGGAGGCTTAGTAGAGCAAGTACGGTAGCTTGGAGCGTTGGTGGTGTTGCTGTGTGTGTCAAAAAAGAGCGGCGATTGCAAAATGACCCGCTGGAATCGATATATATATTTTTTTGGTGTCGCTTTCTGGTTGTAATTGTTGCATTATATAGACAGGCCTTCCCTTCGGACACTACGTAACTTTCTCTCCATCACAATCTACTGTTTTGTGTAAATGTTGAAAATTCTTATTTCATATTAATTGTTTTTATTCTGTGTTTTGTGAGCCGCCCAGAGTAGACTATGTCTAAATGGGCGGCATATAAGCTCAATAAATAAATATCCTGCTCTTCTTTTTTCAGTCTATATTGTCAGATGGCATTGAGAGAATCGGTATTATGGTAGGCATAAAAAAAAAGAAAACGAAGGTTCTGGAACGTTTGAAACATACAGGTTTCTTTCACTATGAGATCCCACACATTGCACAAACCACTTTTTGAGATATGAGTAGTATATATGGAGCAACTACACAACTTGTAGACCCTCAGACACTGGGGATTATAACTCCCATCATATTGGGCCATGTGTGCTGAGGGTGACTGGAGTTGGGAGTCCAGTAACATCTGGAGGGCAACGTGTTTCCCACCTCTGTGTTATTTGAATCATATTCTGGATGGTGGTGAAAATGGGGCTTAGGAGGTGGGGCTGGTCAAGGGGAGGCCAAAAGGATGAGTTTTTACTTACTGCCCCCTTGTGTCTGGGCAGGGCTCATCCTAAGCAGCTCTCCACATAAAGGGAGAGAGTTGGCAAGTGGTTAAAGGGAGAGGTTGGAGATTTTGAAAGAGCGGCCACCTCTTATTTATTTGATTCGTATACCAGCCCAATAGTGCAAGCACTACTCTGGACAGTTTACAAGTTAAAATGAAAAGCCCCACATAAGAACTGCTAGTTAATCTACATGCTTGCTTAATTTGCTGAATTCTGTCTGCTGTAGTGGTAAGAACTGGGTCTGCCATGCCATCTAGATCAATATTGCTAATGTGTTATCCAAGGCAGGGCCTATGGATAGTGAGCACACCCCAGAATTAGAATTGTGGCAATAGGCAATAGGACAATTTGGCTGAGGACTTGCCTCAGCCTAAAGCTAAAGCTAAGTAATATTTATTTATTTATTTGATTTGTATCCTGCCTATCTGGACCAATGGACCACTGACAATGACAGTAACAATAATACTGTAATAGTATACCATCAAATCAATTCTGACTTACAGTGACCTTTTCAGGGTTTCCCAGTAGAGGATTCTCAGAAGTAGTTTGCTATTCCCCTCATCTGGGGGTCTCCTGGGGCTGTGCAGCTTGGCTACACAGCTTGTCCCTTTCTACCAGGAGGCACAGTGACGAAACCAAAAATTAGAATTGTGATGAATTGAACTGGGGACAGGAATTCAAGTGACGGGAAAGGACAAGTGGTGGAAATGGCCCGCATGTACACATGCATGTGAAAGGAATAAAGGCCATAGAATAAAACAGTGAAATACCTAATATTGTGAGCTGTAAAAGCGATAGTCACATACTAATCTTTATAGCCATGAAAGTTACGAAAGTGTCACGTGTAGTTAATCATTCTGAGTCTCCTCTGTGAGATACCTAGCCAAACTGCTTAACAAGGGAGATTGAACCTTCTCAGAACTGAAGCATCCATGTCCTGCCCCTGGTGCTTCTACACTGAATGAGGGCATGTAAAGAGGAAATTTACATGCAATCAGTTGTTGAAATGGATGAGTTCCCCCCTCTCCCCCCAGATGTCCATGCTCAATGTGAAGATGTTCGGCTCCCAGGAGCTTTGCCCTTAGAGATGAATGCTCTGTCTGAAGGTATCCTGTGACTAAGACTTGTTTCACTGGACCCATGCACCTCATTGCTTGATGCTATTAGCCATCTTAGAAGTTGTGTTGTAGTTACAATAAAGTTTGTTGTCTTGCTTAGTTCCTAACTGAAGACAAACTGCTTAGGAGCAGGTCTCAGTAAATGTATACAGTATGCCCTTGGAACCCCATATAAAAAGAGATTATTTCCACCTCTTGCATGAATGGCTTTAATTAAGTGAATTGTACGTTCATGGAGTGGGTTTTTTTATGAGATTTTTTTTTGTCACAAATTGAGCCATCAACATACACCAATTCATCAGGAGGTACAGAGCATAATCATTTAATTAAGGAGCTGAATTGTATATTAATGAACAAAAATACGTTGTACACTTCAGCTGTCCTTTCTAGTCATAACAGTTAAGAGAACCCATATATTCAGAGTGCTTGCCATTTGCATGAATCGGACCATTCAAGAGTACATTCAGTTATGAGGATCAGTGTCAGAAGTGCTCCAGTGGCACCAAGTTATTGGCCCATGGTAGCCAAACACAGAGAAGCAGACTTTAGTGGCCCATTCACCTTTTCCGGTAGGGGTCTAACAAAATCCAGTTCCTTTTCTGTGGCTGGGCTGGGGCCATGTAACTTCTGTCCCAATCTAATTAATTCCCAGCCCATATGCTACATCTTTTCTGTTGTCAATTTTGTTTGTGCAGTAACTACTGAGTAAAAAAAGAGGTCCACACTTAATTTTTGGGTCACTTGGATACTGTACACACACACAAAATAAAATAGTCTGCTCCAATTAATTAAACAAACTGGTACAAAGTGCCCCTGCTTAAATTGTACTTTGCATATCCATAATCTCTGCACTACATTTTATGTATACTTTACCCTTGGGTAAAAAACTAGGAGCATATAAATGTTTTCTCACATAATCTTGCTAAAGCACATTCCTGCCTATAAATATTCATACTACTGCCAAAACATTTACAAGGTTTCCCCAAAGGTGAAATATGTGTAATGTACTTTGCCTTCTGGGTATAAATATTATCCAATACATTTTGGTTAATATGAATACACTAATTATTCTTGTAACCCTTTTTAAAAGGGTCATCTTCATGATGTGAATTTTTAAAAAAATGTAATTACAGTAATTGGATACTTAATCTAATTAAAATTGGCTTTATCTTTAATGAGAATTTTTCTAAAGACACAGAATGACAATTGACTTTCTGATAATCACTGTTATTCTTTCTGCTGGAGGATGTATTTAGGATACTAGAAACTAGAGAACACAGCCTTCATACCATCTGCCAACTGCTCTGGAGCCAGACAAACTGTGGTTTTTATTCACGTTAGCCAAAACATTCTTGTTAATTATGAGATAGGGATATTCTTAAATATTATGATGCAATTGATTTGCACTGAAAGAGAGCTGCGGTTGATTAAGGGGCCTTGGGAAGTACATTGTGCAAGTTTTCTTCACATAGCGCCTAGCTTCATTTGGGTGATGTACATTCAAACAGAAGTTCTCTACAATCTGTATTGTGTTCTTTAAACAAACTGAAGTCAACATTTGTGGAAATGTTGGAACAAAGAGTTAGTGAATAGTTATTAATGTACAGTTTTCTACAAGAACCACTAAAAGCTTAGCCTTAGACCATGGTGCTCGTAACTATAGTTTTTGTAAAGGCAGGAAGTAGTTCATATAGACACAAAGGTTTGAAAAATTATGATACTCTTTTGGACTACTGCTCTCAGAATCCTCAAGTCAGCACAGCTAATGGGCCATGCTGTCTGTGAGATTCTGGGGTTATAGTCAAAACAAGTAACTTTTCCATGTTCCATATGTGTTACATGTTATTCTTACAAAGGTCTGCATGAAAATCCTCACACTGTAGATGTGAATTCCCTCACTCATATTTTACCCCTGTTCTGTAACATGAGGAAATTATAGCCTGAATGCATCACATGTTTATGTTTTGTCTATGAGAAGTATGGTAAATCCCAAACTCTTGCAGCCATATCACTTTTAAGCCAAGAATGGGGAATGTGTGGTCCTCCAGATGTTAGACTGCAACTATCACCATGGCTGTACCAGTAGGGACTAATAAAATAATAATTAGTGCATTAGAGGACACTAATAGCTTTGACAGTACAGTTTGGTGAATTGGATTAAGACACATCAGCACAAGCAGTGACTCAATTTGTTGGAGCTAAGGAGGTACAAATTGGGTCCAATTTCTCAGCCCTAGAAGTCCCACCTTCTCCAAATTCTGATAAGTATCTCACTGGTATCTCAGCCAAAGATTCCCAGCTATCAAAAAATATTTATTGGTATCTACTGCTGTTGATGAATCTCAACCACCATCCAGGTATATCACAACAATCCTTGACATGTATTCAGCTGTTTTCTGATGAGACTTGCTCCTTCTGATGAGACTTGCAGCCTGTCTGCAATCTGCTGTAACAGATCGAAAACTAGAAGGACCTCTTTCTAAAAGATGTAGCTAAAAATGAGCAGTGGAACACACACACCTCAAAAGTCTTAAACAGGTGAGATAAAGAGAACATTGTAGAACCATTTCATGATACGTGACTGAATGCTGCAAAGCGAACAGGTGAAATTTATCTGAGGTATTTATTTATATAGCCACCATGATTACCACCATAACATTTTATTCTCACAACTATATGAGAGTGCTGATGGTTTATCTTCGCTGTATTGCCAAGCAAGAGACAAGGCACAACAAAATTAAGTGGGTCCATACACACTTGGGAATAGATAATGAGTAGGACTTGATGGATGTGTGTATGAATATTATTAATTAATTTGAGGCATTTCTACTTTACTCTTGAGCTGAAAAAGACTTCCAGAGTGGTTTGCAAAGATTAATAACATGACAATCCCTGCCTTTCAGGTTATAATTAAAA